TATTAAAACTTGCTAAAAGTTACTAAACTGAACCATTATGCTTAAACATCTGAGCTAGAATTTAGACTTGGAAATCACTACTGCTCATTAAATCCTATTTTTTGTTTACGTTTTGGGAAAGTACTGTGCACCTAAGACACCTGCAGGGATCAGCTCTCTCCTTGCACCGTGTGGATCCCAGAAATTCAGCTCAAATTACTAGGTTTGGCAGCAATCACCTTTACTCACTGCGCCCCCTTTTTTTGTTTTGTTTTGTTTTTTGAGACAGGGTTTCTCTGTGGTTTTGGAGCCTGTTCTGGAACTAGCTCTTGTAGACCAGGCTGGTCTCGAACTCACAGAGATCGGCCTGCCTCTGCCTCCCGAGTGCTGGGATTAAAGGCGTGCGCCACCACCGCCCGGCTCACGTGCCATCTTAAAACCCTGCAATTCTTAGGGTCTCAGTATTCAGCCCTTGGCTGGCCTCGAATTCAGACATCCACTTGCTTCTGCCTCCCAAGTCCTGGACTTAAAAGTGTGAGTGAGCCACTATGTCCAATAAATTCTTAAAGATCCATTTTGCCTTCGAGACCAGCCTGGTCTACAAGAGCTAGTTCTAGGACAGGCTCCAAAACCAAAAAAAAACCCTTCCTCAAAAAAAAAAAAAAAAAAAAAAAAAAGATCCATTTTGCCAATTACCTGTTTTTCTCAAAATACAAATGACTTTGCATTTCTATTATATGGTATTTTATAGGCTGATTGTCATCTCATTTTTAATAAGAAGCTAACAATTAAAAAATGATTCTGAATTGTTTATTATAGTATACTTTATTTAATACAATGTTAACTATAAAAGTTAATACAGTTTTGAAGTTTAAATTTTGTAAAATGCAGTTTGCAGGAAACAGTCCAACATTTACTAGACTAATGCTAAGAGAAGCAGCATTTGTAAACTAATTTTACAATCGAGGAAACAAGTTTTCTAAATTCCATTAAAAAAATATACATCACAGTGACTTTGGAGCTAGGAAAAGAAGTGCATTAACTTAATTATGCTTTCCCCTTCCACAGAGAACAGTCACGACTTACGATCCCATAGAAATACCCAATTTATTTATCAATCTTTCAAAAATACTATAAACACACGAGGCATGTGGGGGAATCAGAGAATACAGAGCATGTGCTTTTAGTAACATGGAATTGTCTAGGAAGAGAAATAAAAGCAAACAGAAACAAACCAGTACCTTCACACCCTCTGGCACTGGGGGAAAAAGGAAGTGAACAGAGCCCTCAACACTTCCCTCTGTGGCCTGGACAGCCTTCTTGTTTTTAGAGTGATTTGTTGTTTGTCACATAGCAGGCGAATCCCTTCAAGGCAGCTGAGAACCCCACTGCAGGCAGTGATGGCAATCAGCACTTGCCATATACTTTATTTTGTATAAAAAGAATTAGTTTAAAAAAAAATTTAACAATGAAAGTTTATCAAACTACACAGTTTGCCAACTATAAATGCATAAATCATACAAGGAATACTTACAGCGAATAGAAACAAAAGACACAACAATGCTCATTTAGTTCTTTGTATCAATCAAGTCTAAGTCCCTTCTGGGGAATGAGAAACCCAACCCATTTCTACAGAGACCTGTTGTACAAAGTTCTGTGATTAAAACTACCACCACGTGGAACAGATACGACCAATCACAATCATACCAACTGCTCAAAATACGCACGAGAAAGTTAATGAGACTCATCAGTTAATACTATTACCCCAAATGCCAGAAACCCAGCACGTGCCTATCCAGAACATGAAGCAGTCTTCGTGTTTAGCTTAACACCTTCCACTAGGAAACAAGAGGCAAAGGCCACCTGGCAGAGCCAGTGAGTATCTGGACCACACTGGGGCAAACAAAGAGCTGACGGATTAATTCTTGACAAATTCTAAAGGTTCCAATTAAGTGATTTAAAAGAAACTAGTTCTAAGTCAATGTTTTAAAACAACCAGTAGCTTCCTTCCTGACACAAATCTATTGTGGGTATCTGTTCGGAGACATTCTGATCCATTGGCACTACCCAATCAGAACCAGCTATGATGCAAAACCTATCTTTACTTTCACTTACAATCTCTTTGTAGTGTTCATTTCTGTAATAGTTTACCCAGAAAAATAATTCAAACAATAATCACTGAAGTCTTACATAGTGAAACAATTTCCTCAGCTTTGTAATCAAGCAATAAAAACAAGTTAAACTACTTTTAAAAGCTATAAAGACAAAATTACAAATTAACTATAAATTCAAGTATTTCTATAAAGCCAACTGATTGGAAAACAAAAAAGGAAATAGTTTTGGGAAAACAATGTGTAAGAACTAAAAATCTACTAGCACAACTACTAAAACAAGGGCTTGCGCTTTGTGCAATCAGATTAACTGTGAATCTTGAGGTACAATTAATGATAGTTAAGTAGTTTTCTAAATGCTCTTTATATTCTGAAAATAAAGTCTAGATGATTGTCTTCTCAACTCATATCTGTTCTATTGAAAAAAAAATTACAAAGCAGGGGTGGGGGAACCCATAAATAAATGCTCTGCACGGAGCCGTTCTTTTTTTTCTTTTTTGCTCCTTGATCTCTCTTTCTTTCGGAGCAATTCTTTTGATAACCTAAACAGCATGTTACAGACATTACTAATTTTCTCCCATGTCTTTTTTTGTTTTGTTTTTAAAGAACTGGAAAGTCCTTGTGTGTGTGTGTGTATGTATGTATGTATGTATGTATATACATACAGACAAAAGCTCTAGGATCAGGGAAAAAAAGTATTTTTACTTAGTATGCATTTTAAAATGTTAGGAAAAATTCTCTTCTTAAAGATTAGATAGTTGGGGATGTATTTTAAAACACAACTGAATTTAAGACATAATCAACTCATTTTCAGACATGTAACATACATATATATACTAATTCTTCCCATCAGGAGAAACAATTTGTAAAGATGCCACCATGGGTATTTGTTTCAGAATATTCCAAAGAGCTTCAAAATCACCGCACGCTTCATTCTCTACCAGCTACACTGCTAGTATCTTACTGGAATAACAATGGGAAGTATATTAGGCATCGCTTTATTCAGTACAAATAGCACTGAGTAGCTACTGGGTTTACCAAGAAGCTACCTTGGTAAGAGTTGACACTATACTGACAAATATTAAAGTACAAGACTTTCTTTTTTTTTTAATAAATCATTTTTTAAATATTTATTTATTATGCATACAATATTCTGTCTGTGTGTATGTCTGAAGGCCAGAAGAGGGCACCAGACCTCATTACAGATGGTTGTGAGCCACCATGTGGTTGCTGGGAATTGAACTCAGGACCTTTGGAAGAACAGGCAATGCTATTAACCACTGAGCCATCTCTCCAGCCCCCAGTACGAGACTTTCTAAAGACTACTATTAATTGGAGTTTTGAAATGCTTTTCAAATGAGGCAGGTTTTGTGTTTGCCGGATGTTCAATGTTTTATTTAGAAGAATATTACAGAATAAAAGGCCACACATCACAAAAAATAGCAAAATACAACACACAAAATTCTGAATGGACTTTGGATATGTTTAGTGTTTATCTCTGTAAGGTATCATATTTTGCAACTTTCTACTCTACTCTATATGGCAATGTTATACATGCCAAGATAAAATTATGTTAACAGTAAAGTGGTCTAAAGCCATCTGAACAAAAAGAAACCAGAGTCACAAACATGCTGCAGCCTATCGTGGTACATACACAGAAAGATGCATCTTCTTGACATTTCATAGTCACAGCTATGAGAATTAGAGAAGTTAGTCCAAGTTTAAGAAAACCCAAACCATGCAGAATTAACACTCAATGTGATATAGGCTAGTAGCCAAAATAGTGAAATCTTATTTCCAATACTAATGCTTTTTAGAATCAGTCTAGCTTAAGTACCTACACAAGTAGTATGTTTTAATGAGAAATGTATTTTTTAAATTGTTAGAAAAAGGTAATAACATGTTCTTAAAAAGCAACAATTTCAGTTCTTCACACCAAAAGCAACAAGAATTGAAAACATAGCCTGATCTTCCAAGGTATAATTTCTGTCAAATGCTGTATAACAGCAACTCAAGCTCAACCAGCACCTAAACTGAAAACAGCATTCATCTCATTTTGATAGCTCAGAGACATGGACAGTACTAAGGAACACGCTACAGCTAGAATTGTAAAGTATAAGGTATAAAGCACAAGGAAAGTAAGTAAAGTACAAATAACTGTAAAATCAAGTGATGATTTACAATCCCATAAAGATCCTGCTTCTGTGTAATTGAAAGAAATTGCTGTAAGCCTATTATAAATGCAAAACAAAAACTGTACAAAACTTCTTCTAGTGGTTTATCAAGGGATTTTTATTAAAAAGCAAACTTGTCTAACAACGTACTGCAACCAACAGATAAGCTTGTTTCCAAATGGCTGATTAAGCAAAGTAGGCTGCTATTGACTAATTGTTGCAACCCAAAATGAATACATAAAATAGTTTAACATAGCACACAATATTACACCAAAGTGGTTTGTTTTCATTTCAAGTTTATTAAAACTTTGCAGTACAAATTATCCAGGTAGCAGATTATCAAAAGATCACCAACTCAATGAAGTCCACATAAAAAAAAAAAGGGGGTGGGGGGAGACAAACATAAAAACCCCAAAACAATGAGAACAACAACAACAACAACAAAAAAGAGATATAACAGTTAAGTCTCGAAAACTTAAAATTTGAGATAGGGAGGAAATAAGTGTACACAACTCACTCATCCACTTTTGTCTTCATCTGTTCCGGGGCTTGACTCATGATCACACTTTTTATTTTTATCATGTACATGGTCATTTTCTTGACCCTTTGATTTTTGGTTTTCTTTTTCCACTGGAGATCTGGTCTTCTCGTCCTCCTGACTTTTCAACTCATTGTCCTGACTGCTCTGTTTTGGTTTTGACACTACTGGACTTTGATCTCTATCCGCCTTTTTTTCCCTGTTATTACTTGAACTATTATGATCACGGTTTTTAGAGTACATTCTTTTTTCACCCTCAGAATTTTCTTTTCTGTGTGAACTTTTACTTTCTTGGCCTCTGTATTTTTCTTTGTTTCGGCTTTGACTTTCTTCTCTTTCTGAGCTCCGGGAATCCCTCCTTCTCCTCCTCCTGTCTTTACTTCTTGATCGTCCTGGAGTTCTTCGATCCCGGCTCCGTGACCTTCCTCTTCTCCTATACTCCTGTTCTCTGTACCTGTGGTACTCCTTGCTTCTGCTGCGATCTCTGTCATGGCTTCTAGAGCGCACTCTTCTGCTCCTGTCCCTGCTTCTGCTTCGCTCCCTCGTTCTACTGTTGTAACTGTGTTTACTTTTAGTTAGGTCGCGTTCTCTACTCCTAGACTGTGCACGTCTATCCTTTTCTTTACTTTTGCTATGATCATGCTCATTGCTTTTTGATTCTACCTGTTTAGAATTCTCCTTGCTTCTACTCCTTTCCTGGTCTTTCCCTTTAGAATCCAACTGTTTTTCTTTTTCTTTAATAGTCTCATGATCCCTGTCTTTACTTCTTGACCTCATCCTCTTGTCTTCGTGTCTGTTATGCTTTGATTCTCTTTCCTTACTCTTGGATCTCTCTTTGCTCTTACTCCTACTTTTTGATTTGCCTCTTTTCTTCACTTTGTTTTTATTATATTTATCATCTTTTTCTGAATTTCTTCTGATCTCTCTCTCTTTGCTTTCAGATTTATGGTCTTTAACTTTCTTTTCCTTTTCTATTTTTCTGTTTGGACTCTCAGACATGTGTCTGTGATCGGTTACTTTTTTCTCTTTTACTCTAACTGGGCTCCTCTGATTTTCTTTTACTTCATTTAACTCGCTCCTAAAAAGTAAAGGAAGAAAAGATATTTGGAAATATTAGGAAAAGAACAGCATAATTATAAGCTACAATGCTACTGTGCTTTCTGTACAGTATAGAGAAATAAAAGTGCTCCTAATAAAGTATTTGTACAGAAAAATAAAAAAAAAAAATCAATCATGGGCTGGAGAGATGGCTCAGAGGTTAAGAGCACACTGACTGCTCTTCCAGAGGTCCTGAGTTCAATTCCCAGCAACCACATGGTGGCTCACAACCATCTGTACTGAGATCTGGCACCCTCCTCTGGGGTGCGGGCATACATCGAGGCAGAATGTTGTATACATAATAAATAAATCTTTAAAAAAAATCAATCATTTGAAATAACATTTAAATCTTACTTATCCCCTTTGATCCATCTTTCACCACTCGACACCCTCATTCTTTGAGCTCTCTGCATTTCTTGTCTCCAATGTGGAGGAGTCTCACTTCGTCTGAAACGATCCCTTGATCTGGATCTGGAAGGAGTTCGATAACGCTTAAGAAAATAAAAGGGGAAAAAAAGACCATATAAAAATTTAAGCGACACCATAGCTAAGATACATACTTATTTCTAGGTTGAAATAAAATGAATGAGGTTTCTCTGCTTTCTGAAATTGATAAAATTATGAATGAGGCAGTGGAGGTGCACACCTTTAATCCTAGCACTTGGGAGGCAGAGGCAGACAGACCTCTGTGAGTTTGAGGCCAGCCTGGTATACAGACTGAGTTCTAGGACAAGTCAGGACTGTTCCACAGAGAAACCCTGTCTCGAAAAACAAAAACAAAACAAATTAGGAATGTGTAAGAATGTGTGCTTAGTATACATCAGACTCTACAATCCAATCCTGAGCATAATCAACTGTCTCAGCTTTCAGGAAGAAAACAGGCCTGAAATCGTCTTACCAAAATTCTAAGTCAGAAACATTACCGCATCTTGCTAGGAACAGTCCCGCTCATGTAGTGCTAGAATACTTGGTATAATAACTACTACAAATTCCCAAGTTCCTATTTGAATGTTACTTTCGAAAGCAAATATCATGAGAAGTAGAATAATCACAAAAGTCCCCCTTTACAACCAACATTTACTCAGTTCTTTCAATGGCTAACCACATTACCAAAGAAATAACAGTGATCCAAGATATAGCAGATTTTGACCTCTGGGAACTTATAGAGTAACAGGAACAAATTAATGGATACATAATCACATACGTAAAACTACAACAGAATGATTATAGAAGGAGAAATGGTGCTTAAATAATCAAAAAGAGACCTGACACAGTTATAGGAATGTGATCATGTAAAATAATAAAACCTGAAAATGAAGGAATGTTTTTGCTAAGTTACCTAGTATGAAGATGAAACAACACATGGAAGATTATAAAAAAAAGCTCTATACTAAAAGTTCTGGGACAGAAACAAACAGCATTATTTTAGAAATGATCACAAGACAGGTGAAGTACAGCTGAAGACAACAATTCCAAGAGAAAGTAAACCTAGATCATACTGATAAAGTAAACAAGGGTCGATTCTGTGAGGACTCAGCCTGTGGTTGACTAGTTTTTATTTATCCCAAAGTCAGAAACAGACTTGCCCAATGCTCAAAGTGCTAGAAGAGATTAAACTTAAGGCCTTCTGCATACTAGGCAAATACGCTACCACTGGAGCTACACCACAGCCCAGATGTGCACTTTCTGACTACCCTGACTTGATTAAATACACCATATGCCTTTTCCACTTCTGCCTCTTCATGATCACCTGGTAGGAATACTCAGAAACCAAAAAACATGCTTTTTGATTGAACTACTTTCTTTCTTTTTTTCCCCCGAGACAGGGTATCTCTGTAGCTTTGGAGCCTGTCCTGGAACTAGCTCCTGTAGACCAGGCTGGCCTTGAACTCACAGAGATCCGCCTGCCTCTGCCTCCAGTGCTGGGATTAAAGGTGTGCGCCACCACAGCCTGGCTGATTTAATTACTTTCATAGCTTATACTTGTGATAAGTATTTTGTAGTTCTAATTTCTAAAACAACTAATATTGATGAATATAACTCACATGAACAAAAGTACTTTAGGATCTGCAATCATTTAAGGTTTAAGTTTAAACCAGTACTGATGAATAAAACAAAAACAAACCTACCAAATACAAGTTTGGAAGCCATTTATATATGAGACAGCATTATGAGTAAAGTTTTATAGAAGTGCATGCATGCAAGAGTAGGGAGGAAAAGAAATGACAGGTGCTGGCATAAAAAGTTATATAAAATACAAAAGAAAGGATAATGACAATGATTTTGGGCTTTAGGGTGAAACAGGCAAACAGGTGGTGGTCCTAGTCACTGTGAACAACAGCCCAAAGAGACACAAGATCAGAAGAGTAAATGCTTATGCTGAGATTTCTTGATGGTAAGTTTGAGGTGCTTGTAAGGCAAATAGACCTTTGGTGCCATGAATTATGAATTCATGGAACTATGAATTATCTGCCACCCATGAGACTAAAGAGCCTGTCCAAGAAGTATGCATTTTAAAATGAGCTAGAGCCCTGACACTAATTTATAAAGGTCATGCACATGTAATTCAAATTTAAGATAGATTGGCTTGAGAGATAGGAAAAGACAAGATTAAAACATTATGGAAAGAATATTAGAAGGTGAGATTAAGTAATGGACTTTGTAAATTGAACTAACCAGACAAGAGGTGCTGTTTTCAACAGACTACAAAAGCGAGGGGGAGGGGGAACTGGGTAAGAAGCAAAGATTTAAGATATAAAGTACAGACAAGCTTCTAAAAAAGTTTTGAAAGAAGTTATTTAAATTCAAATGGGAAAATTTATAGTTAAAAAAAAGACAGAAGCCGGGCGGTGGTGGCGCACGCCTTTAATCCCAGCACTCGGGAGGCAGAGGC